GGGGATGAAGAATAATGCTTGAGTTACAGTGAGATGATGCAATAATTTCACAACGGCATAACCTCTACTGTTGTAACCGATTAGTTACTGAGAACGCCGCCAGTGCCGCTGAATCAACTTACTAGGCAAGTTACTAGACGGCTCGCTTACCGCGCGTACCCAACCGACGGCCATATTACCGTCAGCCCATATCGGCTCACTTCATATTGCATTTGTACATAAGTCATGTGGGTTACTCATCTAGTAACTGTATAACTTTACGGGTCGACCCGAAAAGTCGCATTTACTATAGCTGGTCCTCTTTACAGTACTCTTTACGGTCCCGGCCAGCTCAGGCCAGCTAATCGCCGTTTACTCCCTCTGAACACAGCCCCCGTAAGCGCCACTTATCGGGCCTCAGTGACGAAAAATTAATAATTGGATGTTTGAATACACGATCATCTTCATCATACTTTTTATTGATAACGTGTTAGCGAGGGCTTTGCACTTATATTGAGTCTTATATTCACTGCATTTCCACTCAACTTTACCATAATTATTATGCAACAAATTATACAAATAACCTTTGATAATTAATTGGGGTTTTCCTCTTTAACTCAAAACAAACTGTAGCGGTATTTTTAAAACCGCATGGCCAAGACTCATGTCATCAGCGCATTAATTATACGTTGATTGCCAAATATGCGATTACCTCTCGGCTTTTCTTCATATTAGCAGTAGGGGCTACAAATATCCATTTTCTGGGTTGTTGTTATTATTATTTGGAGAATTGATCTTTTGTCTGTTTACGTCTGATCCCAGACCGAAAAAATAAGAGAAAAAGAAAATTTAGTCCGGACTGATCTATCACAAGGTTGTTTATGTATAGAACGAGAATGATTGGAAATAAACGGGTTCATTAGTAAATTTGTAATAAATTCATGTCTTTGAATTAGCGTTGCATTTCCCCTGTGTTGAATTTGTTCTGTATTGAATGGGTTTTGGGTTCAGTTGTCTGTATAATGAATTGACATATTGAGACCAAATTACTATGTGGTAATTAGTCCTGTCACCGGGAATTTACGTAGGTCTAACGTGAAAGATATGGCGTAAGGGTCCATAAATATGATATAGGGGAGCCGGTGTCTGTACCGCGCGGCGGGTAATACCGCGTATATCGATTTATCTACTCCTACCCCTCCAATCAATTTTCTGTCAATTAAATATTAAGTGATTATGTGTTACGAGCTCATTTTAGTGAAAATTTGGCGTTTTTAATTGCAGTAAGTGCCAAAAAAGTAAGTAAAAAAGTTTTGAATCAAAACGATGTAAAATTTGTCCTTTAGAATTTAAGCTTTCTTGTTTTTTGGAATTGAATAAATTACATGAAATTACTAGAGATAATTTCAGTGTAGATTTTTTACATCAATAGAATTTTTTTCGACAGTCTGACAACAATGGAAATAATTATAATCGATTATTTATTTCAGCCGTGCGTTGGCGGGTAATGTCGCTCGCCGGGCGATGACAGTACCGCTTAGTGTGAGGGCAATACCGTGCAGTGAGTGACAGGCTGGACTGCCGGCTGGCAAAGCTACTGGACGTCACAGTCGGTTTTCGTCATTTGTAACCGGTTTAATAAGTTGAGAAGGTAAAAATAAGATATCCCTTAAGTGAAATTAAAATTTAATTCATCCATTGAAGCTGCTCAAGTCTCATTAAAGAGGAAACCGACAGACAAGTTATGTTCATCTGTTGATCCCTCGATCATTTCATGAATTGATGGTTTTTTCGTCTTTTTTACAGCATGCCATGGAAGAAGAAGCCTGAAGAGTTGAAGAAAAGAGGAAAGTGGAGAGATAACGATTTGTATTCAGCACTGGAGGCCGTTGCCAATGGTGCATCTACTAACAAAGCTGCAGTGGAATATGGTGTGCCTGCCACTACTATTCGAGACAGGATGAAATCTGGAGAGCTATCCGCACCTCGCATGGTTCGGCATGCAATTTTCACGGTCGATCAAGAGCACCAAATGACCGAAGAAATTAAAATTCTCGCAAAATTATACTATGGATTGACACCACTGCAAATCCAGAAAGCAGCTTTTGACTTCGCCGAGAAACACAAGATCCCTCACACCTTCGATCGAGAAAAACAAGTCATAGGACGTGCGTGGTTCGACGGGTTTATTCGGAGGAATCCAACGCTCGCCGTACGTACACCAGAGAACACAAGTTTCAACCGCATAACAGCCTTCAATAACGAGGGAGTCGCACTATTTTTCGATCGCTGGGAACAGGAGCTGAGGAAATATAATTTCCTCCCTTCAAGGATCTATAATATGGATGAAACACGGATTTCAGTCATACCTGAGACGGTGGCAATCGTCGCGGAAAAAGGACAGAAAATAGTGGGCACTGGCTGCGAGTGGCGAGCGAGGAAGAAATGTCACGGTGATATGTGCTAGTAACGCAGCAGAAAGTACGTTCCAACCATGTTCATTTTCCCTCGTAAATGGATGGCTCCAGGATTACAGAGTGGTGGCCCTAGTGACGCAATCTATCATTGCTCTGCTAATGATTACTCTAATTTGGCTTTATTTCTCATTTGATTGGAACATTTCGTTCATCACAAACGTCCTTCCAAGGAAAATCCCATCGCACTCATTCTCGATAATTACGACAGCCACATATCTATCGAAGTTTACAATTTTTGTTGTCAGAATGGAATTGTACTGGTAACGTTGCCTCCACATTTATCTCACCGGATGCAGCCACCAGATGTGAGCTTTTTTGGGCCTTTGAAGAGCGCATTCAAGAGAGAAATTAACTTATTCTTAAAGCAAACAAAAGGACAACGAATTACTGTTTTTGATTTGGCTCCAGTGTTTCACAAGGCTTACGTTTCGGTTACTTCGATGAAAAATGCTACTTCAGGATTTGAAGCCTCCGGAATATGGCCGCTGAACAGAAATATATTCTCTCATGAAGATTTTATGGTTGCCGAGGTTTTGAGTGCGCTTTCCAGCAGCTCTACCTCCAGTGAACGGTTTGGATGACGCAGAAAATGATATTCTGACATTAGACGTCCCAGTTCTCGTTTCGGACGGTGATTATTCCAGCCTGTTGTCTTCACTGCTTCCAGAAGAGTGAAATAATACGACAGAACCTGAAGAAGCTGCACAACCAGTTCACAGCGAGGCACTAGAGGAAAATACTGAGATCGATGGGCTTGGAGAGTTAGACGTCGGACTTGCTTCTCCAATTTCTCCAGTTTCCCTTGCTGAATCTTCCAATGATCAGAATGGGGCTAGACCAAGAGAAAGTCAGTCGCTCGTCGATAGGCTTGTAAAAGATGCAGTTGTACAGTTGCCGATACGAGCTTACGGGGAGTTCACCCATTTAGTGTTGTTTAGGGAAGGATTGATAAGGGTTTCTTCTCAGCAACACCAGTTAAAAATTGCAGGCGGCTGTATCTTCGATACAGCTGTAATTATACGTGGATACGTCCATAGTCTTTCCTTTCTCTAATTTCCTAGAAACTCCTTGCATTCTTGAGTTCTTGAATTCTCTCGAATTTTCTAGAAACTCCTTGAATTCCCTCGAATTTTCAAGAAACTCCCTGAATTTCCTCGAAATGTCTAGAAACTCCCTAATTTTTTGCGAAATTTCAAGAAACTTCCCGAATTACCTCCAAATATCTAGAATTTTCTAGAATTCCGATAGATGGCGCTGCACATAAGGATCGTTTCCCAAAATTACCCCCCATAGTGAAACCATAGACGCATTCACATAAATAAGAGTGATATAATTAACTGAGACGAATAATTGAATATAAAATCAAACTAATAATTGGTTCGGCATTGCGTGCACCGCTAAGATTTTTGGCGAGGTGTAGACATCCGTGCAAGTCCAACTCATCCCGTACTTTTATTGTTCCAGAGCAAACGCTATTTGTAGTTCAAAATATTTGACAAGCACTTTCACGATTTGAGTATCTAATACAAAAAATGAAGTCACTGACAGTGCCACTATACCAAATAAGTACCACTTACTATCAAATAACTTCTTCTTCGAAGCTGGATTTCTATTACACCGTGTGACTGCTTACTAGTCAGCATCAGGCTCTTGGACTTCTTTTTGTCAAGAAAATATTGACTAAATAAAAACTGACATGTGCGTGTTTGCAAACGTCACGTCATCATGTTTTCCACAGATAAAACTCATTAAAGAGCTGTCAAAATTTATCGACTTCGCTTTCCGCTGCTGACTAGAACATGGCCCAAATCAGCACTACTTATACGTGAAACGACAGTCGAAAACATGAGTTTTGCTTCAATAATTTTAATTTTCATATGAACTTAAAAGAATGAATCTTATTAAATATTTCACAAATTTGCTGATTTATCAATAACAACATATATGGAGATCTCCTGCGAATTAGTTGATGGTGTTAAAAAAGATTGCAATTTTTCACTTGAAATTTCAAGAGTAATTCCGCTGCGGTGTCAGCGAATAATAACAAAGTTGTCGGAAACAGTCATTCGAATTGAAGATGAGCTAAAATTCGTTCCCAATGGTTGTTACGGTGTCCCTTGCAGCCGGCGTTCTGTGGATAATCGCAGACTCGTTCCACAGGGTTGTAATGTAGAGAGGGAGGGCACTTAAGAACGTGCGGTGTCCTAAAGTGGCACTTGCAGAATTTATTGCAGTCTTGATGTGGCAGTTGGACAGCCTCAGTTGGATTTCTCTGCGAGCATTTGCCAATACATCCGTGGGTGTCATCATCAGATATAGGATCATTTGAACTATGAGAACCATGACGATTTGACTTGTTCAATTCTTCTAAAAGTCCCTCACTTCCATCTGATATTCTGACATAGAAATCATGAGTAATAATTGTAGCTTCTGGCTTCATGGTTCCCAACGAATTGTTGCAACCCGAAAATCCAGGGGAATCGCAGACACGAAGATTTGGATTGAATTCAAGTCCCGGTACACAGTTCGCCAATTTCTTTTGTCCCCTATCGCATATGTAGAACATGGAGCAGCTGGTTTCGTGAGGAATTAGTGTTCTGTTGCTGTCTTGAGGACAATCCGATGATTTCGGAGTGGTAGAAGTCACTGGAGGAAGCGGTGTCGTTTCTTCCTTCACAGTGCAGCCAGCTGACTCTGGCCAGTCACACAGCTGCTGTCTCGGGTTAAAATGAAGCCCTGCGGAGCAGGACTTTGATTTTTTCTCTCCTTCAACACATTTGTAGTACAAAGTGCAATCTGTTGGATGTGCAATTCGGGCGGACAAACCGGAATCACCAGTCGGGCATTCGGTGGGGATAACTTCGAGGGTGGTGGATGAGGGTTCCTTTTGAGATGGTGGTTTTGAACAATCGGCATTCTCAGGTTTGTCACAGGCGTCAATCTTCGGATTGAAGTGAGTTTTGTCGGGACATTGGTGAAGGATAAGTCCTGCCTTTGAACAGATGTAGTACTTATCACAGCTGCACTCGTGGGAATAGAATTGTCCGTTTTTGGAACCGCTGGGTGGACATGAATCTGAGACATCTGGTTTCGTCGGTTTTGGAGTCGTTGTGGGAGAGGACGGCCGTTCAGTAGAGGGATGTGTAGCTTCCGTAATATCTTCGGATGTAAGCCACTCGGTCGTCGTGAGCAAGCTATTGTTAGGGTCTGTAGTAGTAGAATGACTGGTACTACCTGCCGTTGTTGGTCTCTGCGTAGGCTTTCCAGTCGTTGTAGGTAATTCAGTACTAAGATGAGTAGTACTTTCCGTAGTTGACTCGGAGGTAGGTCCTTGTGTTGTCGCAGGCCGTTCAGTAACAGAATTAGTAGCACCATCTCCTGTGATTGGTCTATGTGTAGACTTTTCCGTCGTTGTAGATGATTGAGTACTAAGATGAATCGTACTTTCCGTACTTGATTCGGATGTAGGCCCCTCCGTCGTTGTGGATAAGCTAACATTGGGGTGTGCAGTACCGCCCGTACTTGTATCGGTTGTAGGCTCCTCAGTCATTACAGGCCACTCAGTCGATTGAGTAGTACTACCTTCTGTTGTTGGTCTCAGCGTAGATTTTTCAGTTGTAGGTGATTCAGTACTACGATGAGTACTACCGTCTATACTTGATTCATGTGTTGACTTGTCAGTCGTTGTAAAGCCTTCAGTAGTGGGTTGTGTTGTAATTTTTATGGTGGATTCGTGACTGGGCCCTTCAGTCGCTGCTTCGGTGGTTGGATGCGTAGTGGCTTCCGTTGGTTTGTTTGTAGAATTTCTAGGCGTTGTAGGTAAATCAGCAGTTGATGGTGTGGTACCATCTGTAGATGACTTGGTTGTACTCGAATTTTCAGTCGTTGTTAGTTCTTCAGGAGTAGATTGCGTAGTATTTCCTGTGGTTGTTGGCCTATCTGTAGACTTTTCGGTCGTTGTAGATAATCCAGTAGTCGAATGCGCAGTACCTTCAGTAATTGATTCAGTCTGATGTCCAGTTGTAGATAATTCTGTGCCAGAATAAGTAGGACCTACTGTGCTTGATTCAGATGTAAGTTCTTCGGTCGTTGAAGACGAACTAGTATTAGGGTTTCCCGTACATTCTGTACTAGGTTTTTGCGTAGGAACTTCAGTTGTTGTAGGCCATCCGGTGCTAGGACTTATAACACCCTCCGTAGAAGGTGTGTATGTGGGTTGCTCAGTGGATGAAGTCCATCCAGTAGATTGTGCTGCTGTTTCTGTAGTCGATTCGAGTGGTTCCTGTGGCGTTGAAGGCCGTTGAGTGGTTTCACGTGGGGTCCCTTCCGTAGTCGGTCTCTGGCTAGGATTTTCAGTTGTTGTCGCTAGATCAGTAGTAGAGGGTATAGTACCTTCTGAAATTGGTTCATGTGTAGGATGCTCAGTCGTTTTAGAATCTGTTGTAGAATCTATGTTACCCTCTGTTGTTGGTTGGTTTGTAGACTTCTCGGTCGTTATAGGCTCCTCAGTTGTTTGAGAATCCGTAGTAGAGTCTGTATTACCTTCTGTTGTTGGTTGATTTGTAGGCTTTCCAGTCATTGTAGGTTCCTCAGATGTAAAATCTGTAGTCGGGGGAGTGCTACGCATTGTTGTTGGTTGGTTTGTCGGCTTCCCAGTCGTAGAATCCGTAGTCGAATTTATGGGACCGTCTGTTGTCGGTTGACTTGTAGGCTGTCCAGTAATTGTAGGCTCCTCAGTCATTGTAGAATCCGTATCTGGATCTGTGTTACCTTCTGTTGTTGGTTGATTTGTAGGCTCCCCAGTCGTTGTAGGCTCTTTACTCGTGGTAGAATTTGCAATTGGCTCATCTGTTGGCTTTTCAGTCGTTATAGGATCTTCAGTAGGTATATGCGTCGTACTTCCTTCTGCAGGTGCATCCGTTGTATTTTTATTTGTACAGCCAGAACTGCGCGGCCAATCGCACACTTGTAATTTTACATTGAAGTAGAGACGATTTTCGTTACTGTCCATCAACGCACACTGCATAAGGATCTTCCTTCCGTTGGAGCATGCGTAGAATTTAGTGCAATCTGACTCATGTGCAAGGAAAACGGATTTCCCTACTGAGTCCACTTTCGGACATTTAGCAGGAATTTTATCTTCGCTGGAGTTTCCAGGCGTGGTAGCTTCTGTAGTTGTTCTATCCATCGCAGACTGTCCAGTTGTAGATAATTCAGTGGTACAGTTTCCAGGATCTTCTGTATTTGGTCTTGTTTGGTTTCCAATCATTGCTGGTGATTCAGTAGCTACATCTGTAACACCATCGTCAGTTGGTCTGTCTGTAGGCTTCTCAGTCGTTGTTGATCTTTCAGTAGGTGCATGCGTCGTACTCCCTCCAGGAGGTCCATCCGTCGTATTTTTATTCGTACAGCTAGAACTACTTGGCCAATCACACATTTGGAGTTTCACATTGAAGTACAAGCGATTTCCATCACCATCCATTAACGCACACTGCATAAGTATCTTTCGTCCATTGGAGCATGCATAGAATTTCGTGCAATCTGACTCATGGGCAAGGAAAACGGATTTCCCTACTGAGTCCACTTTGGGACATTCAGTTGGAATTTCAGCTTCGCTGGAGTTACGAGGCGTGGTAGCTTCTGTAGTTGTCCTATCCATCGTAGGCTGTCCAGTTGTTGATAATTCAGTGGTAGGGTTTGCAGGATTTTCTGTAGTCGGTCTTGTTTGGTTTCCAATCGTTGTGGGTAATTCAGTATCTGCATCTGTAACACCACCTTCAGTTGGTCTGTCTGTAGGCTTTTCAGTCGTTGTTGGTCCTTCAGTAGGCACATGCGTCGTATTCTTATTCGTACAGCCAGAACTACTTGGCCAATCACACACTTGTAGTTTCACATTGAAGTACAAGCGATTTCCATCACCATCCATCAACGCACACTGCATGAGGATCTTCCTTCCGTTGGAGCATGCATAGAATTTCGTGCAATCAGATTCATGGGCAAGCAAAACGGTTCTACCCACTGCATCAACTTTAGGACACTCAGTTACATTCACATCTTCACCAGAGCCTTCCACTCCATCAGTCTGTACAGTAGCAACGTTATCAGTATACACAGCGAGCAGTAGTCCTGCGAGACACACAGAGGCGACCCAGTGCCCTTCACAGAAAAAAATGAAAATCAAATTCAGTAATAATAACTATAAAGACGTAGAAAATCTCAGAGATGAGATCCACCGAAATTTCCTTCTCGATTTTCCCGGTGATATTTTTGTATTGCATTCATTTCCATTGTCATGTGGGTCTGAAAATAGAAATTTCATTAAATATTCCATAACTTTATTGATTGCCCGATGGCTTGGCGCAGTGGGTAAGTTCGTTGCCTCACATGCGAAAGGTTCCGAGTCCAAATCCCGGCCGGGTAGAATGGTGCGATCTAACCATTTAAAGTCTTGATCATCATCGCAGTTTACCCTAACCGGGTCGAAGCGATGTAGAATAACAATAAAAAAAATAACTTTATTGATTCATGAGTAACAACATACACCAAGTTCCATGTAAATTAATTGTTGTTGAAAATTTTAAGATTTGTTTTTACTTGGCATAGATGTCTTTACTTGACATCTAACAGTACAGAAAAATCAATTTTGTACGGTCTACAGTTTTAATTTCGAAGTGTTGACGAACAGGAATCAAAAGGGCTATTTGCACCGGGACTTCAAGTCGCACCAAGTTCGGCTAAGTTTATGTTAATACCTGGCCAAGTCTCGAGAGTTGGGCATGAGTAGCCGTAAACTGTGAAATTTATCGGTAAGAGTTTTGGAAATTTCTAACAAGTAACTTTTCCGCTGACATTTCAAAGAGGTTTCTCATTGAAAAATCAGTAAAAACTGGAAATTTCAATTTAATTATTCCAGGAAAATTACGAAGAATCAGGAAAATTCAAAGAAATCTCTCCTTGAATTCCGGATTCCTCTGGATTTTCAGAGAATTCTTTTAAAAATTCCTAGAATTCCCTAAAAATTCAAGAAAATTGGGCACTGAATATTCATTTTCACTTGAAAATTCATGTACACTGTGGAATTTCCGCCTTCGTAACGCTAAAAAAATAGAACTTTGCTAGAATTTTCAGAGAAACTTGAAAATCCATTGACTTTTTCCCCTTAAATTGAATTCAAGGTCTTTTTCCGGTCAAAATTTTTTAACAGTATAGCCATACTTTGAACAACTTGAGGTCCTAGTGTAAAAAGCCCCAAAATAGACAGGGAAACACAGGTAATTAGATAATATAGCAACTCCAATTTTTTCAGGATACTGGTAGGTAAATAGTATAGTTATTATGTTAATATTGCAGTATTTCAACACATATTGTGCTGGGAACTGGTTGCTATAAATGAATGTAACCTCTTTGAGCTATCACACCTATCACATACATTCTCATGTAGATTTACGAGACTTCCCATTCCACGCTTTCCCTTCTAAAAGCAGTTTTATAAATTTCAATTATGAGGTGTTCATATCAATTCAACGTGTAGTGAAGCACTTATCATAACATATCAAGCTTCACCAGCACTCAGCATTACCCAGGGTTCGCGTCGGGGACGCCTGGTATGAACCCCACAAAGGTCATAATTTGACCCAGTCGCCCCTTCAAGTGATTTTTTACTTATTTGGGTCTGACTCAATTTTCTTGTTGATTTCATTTTCTTTTATTGTTAAATAACGAAATAATGCAATTTCTTCGAAAAAATTTTTGGAGCAGTTATATACTCTAATTACCGAAACACACGCAAAACACCGTCTCATTTGCCCTAGGTTTTCCTTACAAATTCTCATAAAATAATCGCAACACCGAAGATCGAAACACCCACCACACATTTTATTTAAATTTTTCGATTCACAAAGCAACTCACGAATCGAAATGAAGAAGTAGATTCTCTACATTATCAACTACTTACGTTTCATTATTACTGTCCAAATAACAATTGCACTTTAACTACGGAAAAATAGGGTTCGCTGAAGGGTGGATAACTGATCAGGTCCAACTGACAGCTCATTTTATATAAAGATAGGTCTTATCATACCGTGGCGATTATCATATCTAACATCACAAAAGTGAATACACACACGTTGATGTTTACAAACTGCAGTGAATTAATTTACGTGAAAAACAGAATTTCCCCGAAGTAAGTACATCAAACGTAGAGATTGAATTGATTATTTGTGCATGGACTATCACCTGAATATCTGTATCCAACTGATTACCATAGTCAGAATAATATTCGATAAAATAGTCTAGACCCACCCCCTCCCCCACTGACTTATGTCCTCAACTTTATCGTAACATTTTTCTCATAGATATCATTATTGATTGCAGTACGTAATAGATATTATGAGAAAATTGTTAATCACCTTTCATTGCCAAATGGAGATATGCGACTGAGAAGTATTCCGATACTATCAGGCTTAAACCAGTAAATACTTTTTCGTAGTATTTGATAAACATTCGATCGAGTTGAGTTGTAGGACAACAATACCTTTCCAGAAAAAACTACAATCGTCTAATGTTCATATAGCACTAGAAGGAATTAATCACGGCAAACTCAAAGTAATGATGAAGCGGAAGCAAAAACATGTAGAATGATAAAATTTTCCTCACCTTTTTCAAGGTACCACTCATTGCAGTTTTCGTATAAATATCCGGGAGATTACGATGCACTCGTTTATGGAATTTTTCAACGGCATATCAGCGATTGCAGAATGATTTTTCTCGGGGTAGATTATTTCTATCACTGCTTAGTCTACAGGAATTTCGATTTTGTGTGTGGATATGAGAAATTCTAGATATGAATATTTTTTTTTATAGAATTTCATATATAAAGGAATCGTATAGGGATGTTCTCTAGGACATTCGTGAGGAAGAACAGGGTAAAATAGGATTGAAGGAGAGCGATAAAAAAGACCATCCTCAAAAATACATTACATGCTAATTAATTTTTAGTTTAGTGATAATGTTCACAGTACCCTGATGTATCAAACCCAGAGTTGACTCTAGGTTAACTCTGGGGGTAATCTATCAGGGTAAACATCTATCTAATCTGGAATAAAATACGTGTCGAATTATCGATTAAGGTATATCTCTAGAAAACAGGTTTTTCTTACTATTGTCCCCATGTTTTTTATAAGTGAAGTTGATAATATTCCCCAGCTCTTGAAAAAAAATTCTAACTTACTGTACTACACAGTTTAGGAAATAGCAAATAATAAAATGCGGATTCTTAGCACACAAGGCATAGGCCAAACGGGAGTTATGCCCCCCCCCCCCCCCAAAAAAANCAAAAAAAACGCTTCTTACGATGTTTCTAAAAAACGAATCCGTAGTACATTTATAAATTCCAAATACATCAGCGAATTTTTGGTCAAATTTTATAATACGTAGTTTTTGCGATATACAACTCTAAAGATGGAAATTTAGTGAAAACATTTCGAAAGCTAATAACAGAATCAGCTAACTACAAAAAACGGTCATTTCCAGAAATAAAGTGATGTATCTAAAAAAATCGGCTATTTACGCTCGGTATTAAAAAAATCATTGAAATAGTTATTTTCAATCTTTTTGGAACAGACTAACGTATCTTCAATTATTTTCCATCAGACAAGTGTAACTCTAACGTACGTCCTTCTATTATAAAAAAAAAATTTAACTTCCAAATTTTGGAAAACATTGAAACTGTACAGACTTGGAAAATATTGGTATAATGTGCTCATTACACATGTTTCACTGATGCCCATTTCTCGGAGATACATTTTTTAGTTCCGAATTAATCTCTATGTGTTAGAAGCGTTAAAAATACCCGGATACATGCAAATTTGAATTAAAAAGAAGATACTTTTTTTTCACAAAAATTTTCAAGAATTTTGAAATTTTGGTAGTTACGTGACTGTTATAGTCGCCGCCAGAAAAGAATGATCTTGTATCTGACAATGAATGGTGGGAGACGTGGACTAGGAGCTAAATTCGAGAAAGTGGGGATACCTAGCTGTGATCATTCTTTCGTGGCGAGGACTGTACTCAGCTGCCGATTTATTATTTGATTCAAACTATTAATTAACAAATAACTTCTTATTTGATCCAGACAGTTATTGTTGCCTTCATCAACAACGTACACAGAAAAAAAGTGAATTAGCTTTAGAAAAAAGTTTCTAAATTTTAGAAACTGTGAGTTCTAACCTTCACTTTTTTAAAATTTAGATACTTTTTTCTAAGCTTCCAAAAAAATCGTTCAAAATTAATGATCAAATTTGGGATTAATTTTAACCCAAAATATACTTAATTTTAGAAAAAAAAATTTCTAAAATCTAGAAAATGTTTTTCATTCTTTTTATTGGGGGGGGGGGTGTAGCGTCTCGCTACACAAACACCAACGCGTAACACACGCACGGATACGACAACGCTGAGAGACGACTGGACATCGGTGACATCATCGCGCTCTGTCACGCGCCTAGTATAAAATACCTCTCGCTCGCACCTATTGTCATGCGTATCCAAATTCCCGTCTTACGCGGTTTAAGATAGTGAGTAGAGTCTAACACTGACCTCCGATCAGATCACTTTGATTATTCTTTCTCTTTTGTATATATTCTGAACGTCTTGATTAAACTGTAATTTATATTCTAAATTACATTTGTTAGTGAATTGTTACATCCCTCAACTACCTCAATTCCTATATTGGTGACCCCGACGTGATCTAATTAGGGAAATTCGACGTTTTAAACGACAAAAGTGAAAATCCTCGCGTCTCGCGCGCGTGCAGTGCAACTGAAAAATTCATTCTCTCGTCCACGCGTTGTCATCCATTGTTCCGGACAACACGCGCGACTCAGTTTTTCAAGTGCTGCAGTGAATCTCGCGAGTGCATTCTAGTTAAGTGGCGCGCTTCTGAAAATAATTAATTTCGTTGTGTGACCCACGCTTCGGTTTTTAAACGACGGCGCCTCGAGATTTCTGGAACATTCCAACCGTCCGAGCGTCAAGACCTTGGTTTCCCATTGTTCTCGCGGAACCAAAATAAACCGAATAAAAGTGATATCCGAGTGAATATTTGTGACCTCGCGCCGACACATTGCTGAACACCCATAGACGTTGTGTTGTGTTGGTGACAAATAGAGACTACAACAGCCTTTATTTTTCTCACAAATTTATTCCTTAAGTTTAATCGCGCTGTGAAGTAAAATTCATCGATTTTATTTCTCTCTGAAATAAAATAAAATAAAATCGACATGGTAACAACAGCAGCTGACATCCAGACAACTCCCACTGTAACGACAGCAACGGCTACAATGAGGCCCAAGCTCGTCGCAAGGCCATTCGACGCGGACAAACCCGCGCTATGGTTCGCGCAACTGGAGACACAGTTCCCTGACCTGGGATACGTCACCGAGTCAGATAAGTACAACAAAACGGTACCGCTGATCGACACTACTTACGCGGCAGAAGTTGAACATTTAATTGTCTCCAGACCTGTAACAAATCCATACCAAACATTAAAAAACGAACTAATCAGATGTTTCACAAAATCCAGGACTGCGAACATCATCCAATTGCTCGACAGGGAGAGCATTGGGGATCGAACTCCGTCGAAGCACCTGAGACATTTAAAAAGTCTTGTTCCAGGCATTGACGACGAGGTCCTGAAAACGCGCTGGTTGTCTCATCTCCCCGAGCAGACGCGAGCTACACTCGCCACCCAGGAGAACGCTTCCATTGATGATCTCGCGAAGCTAGCAGACAGGGTGCACGAGGTATTCAATCCGAAAAGCATCGCAGCAATCACCGGCTCGCCAGCCAACGCAGTCAACACGGCACTCCTCGAGCGAATTGAGCAGCTGACGGCGACCGTTGCCGCCATGCAAACGCGCGACCCACGGTCTCGTTCACGAACACGTCGAGACGGCTCACGGGGTCAACGCAGCCACTCGCGCCGAAGCTCCAGCTCGAGGAAAGTATCAAAGAATTTTGACATCTGCTGGTATCACTACAAGCATGGTAATAACGCCCGTAACTGCCTACCCGNTCTGAAATAAAATAAAATAAAATCGACATGGTAACAACAGCAGCTGACATCCAGACAACTCCCACTGTAACGACAGCAACGGCTACAATGAGGCCCAAGCTCGTCGCAAGGCCATTCGACGCGGACAAACCCGCGCTATGGTTCGCGCAACTGGAGACACAGTTCCCTGACCTGGGATACGTCACCGAGTCAGATAAGTACAACAAAACGGTACCGCTGATCGACACTACTTACGCGGCAGAAGTTGAACATTTAATTGTCTCCAGACCTGTAACAAATCCATACCAAACATTAAAAAACGAACTAATCAGATGTTTCACAAAATCCAGGACTGCGAACATCATCCAATTGCTCGACAGGGAGAGCATTGGAGATCGAACTCCGTCGAAGCACCTGAGACATTTAAAAAGTCTTGTTCCAGGCATTGACGACGAGATCCTGAAAACGCGCTGGTTGTCTCATCTCCCCGAGCAGACGCGAGCTACACTCGCCACCCAGGAGAACGCTTCCATTGATGATCTCGCGAAGCTAGCAGACAGGGTGCACGAGGTATTCAACCCGAACAGCATCGCAGCAATCACCGGCTCGCCAGCCAACGCAGTCAACACGGCGCTCCTCGAGCGAATTGAGCAGCTGACGGCGACCGTTGCCGCCATGCAAACGCGCGACCCACGGTCTCGTTCACGAACACGTCGAGACGGCTCACGGGGTCAACGCAGCCACTCGCGCCGAAGCTCCAGCTCGAGGAAAGTATCAAAGAATTTTGACATCTGCTGGTATCACTACAAGCATGGTAATAACGCCCGTAACTGCCTACCCGATTGTAAATTTCAGGGAAACGCCAGAGGGAGACAATAATGGCGGAAGTCGTCTCTCAATCACAATCCCGCCGCCTATTTATCACCGACAGGACGACTGGGACCCAATACCTAGTGGACACAGGCTCAGACGTCAGACGTC